AAAATATAATGATTGTTGTGTTTGTCCTATGGCCGAACAAACTGGATTTTCATTTCCTTTGAGCTCTATATCAACTCATGCTGCAGTTGATTTGTTGCATTGTGATATTTGAGGTCTCCACAAAAGTTCCTACTTATTTAGGGGTCTTAACTTTTTTTACCGTTGTTGATGATTATACCAAATGCTATTTAATGCAACATAAGTTTGAAACTCAACATATTTTAAGATCTTGCTTTTGCTCACTCTCAATAACATGCCAACATCAAAGTTATACTACTCGACAATGGGTCTGAATTTATGTCCATGAGAGAATTTTTTCAAACTAATGGCATTGAACATCAACGAACATTCGTTTACACTCGACAATAAAATGGAGTTTTCAAATGTGTTTTAATTGCTGACTAACTCATTAATCGCCGACCATCCCTACTACTAGCCACTAAATCACCTTTTGAGATATTGTACAACCGTCCACCATCTTCTGATCACCGGAAGGTTTTTGGCTATCTTTGTTATGCAATCGTTGTGATGTGAAATTTTGTGAAGTTACCTTTCCTCTCTCTTCCATTTCAACGCCACCTGCTCTCACTTTTGAATTTGAATGGTGTTATTCACATACTTATTTATACATTTAACACACATCTCTTAATTTATAATTATTGAATAGAATAAATTAAAGAAAATTAATAAAAGTATAATTAACAGAAGTGTGTGAAGGATTAAAAATAGCATATGAATAACACTATTTTGAATTTTTTCCAATCTCCCCAGATGACATCATCCATGCCCATCAATCTTCCAACACCAAGGTGCCATTAAACAATCCACGTACACAGACGCCACCAACCATCTCGCCCATATGCACAACCTCCAGAGCAGTCTGACACAGCAGAAAGCAACAGCCCCTCTGCCCTACTTGTCCACACACCTCACCTGCCCATCAGCAGTCCTATACCACCAGTGTCATCCCATCCCGTCCATTCCACAGAATTTGATTGCCCCACCGAATCAAGTACACCACTTTCTCCCCACCCATCTATCACATTTAGAAGTGGGTTTGGTTTCATTCGATTTGATGTTTTACTAAAATCGAAATCCAACCAAAACTTCGGTTTTTTTATTTTGTTTGGTTTTGTTCTGTTTGATGTCGGTTTGGTTCGGCTCGATTTTATCTTACATTGGTAGACTAATAATAAAAAAATAGGAAAAGTGGAGAGGTAGTTGTGCATATGCAATCCTATAGTGGGAAGGTAGTTGTACATATGCAATCTTATTTTATCAATAATCTTAATTATAAAGAAAAATGATCACCGTATTTATTCCAAAAACAAATAAAGAAGTTCTTTCAAGTTCCAAAACCTTCTAAAACTTTTCTCTATAACCAATAAAATATCCTCCCTAATTGAATCAAGTATGCTCCTTGAAAAAACCTAGGCTTAGTTTTGAACTTAGCAACAAAATTTCACAAAAGGAACATCATAGGCATAAATTCATAGTGTAAAGGGATTCGATTTGGTTCCAATAAAAGTTGGTTCGGTTTGATTTTTCCATTTTTGATTCAATTTTTTTTTTTTCAATTTTCTGTTTTTCAGTTTTCGGTTTTTGATTTTCGATTTTTGAAAACCCCCCCCCCCCTAGCAACCCCCCACATGGCATAAAGATTATCACATGACAAACCAAGTCACTCAATCTGCCCCGACACCACCACCTTCTTCCTCTAGTACTCATTACCTTTCTTATTTTCTTTCCTACTCTCGCTTCTCCTATGCCCATTGTACTTTTCTAGCTAATATTACAGACGACACCGAGTATACATCGTATACTCAAGCTGTCCTTAATACTAATTGGCACCAAGCTATGCATACAGAATTAAAGGCTGTATAACACAATAACACATAAAGTATGGTTCCTCTGCTTGTTGGTTCGAAACTGAAGTTGCAAATGGATTTACAAAATCAAATACATGTCTGATTTAGAATCCTTGTAATATATCATCATTATTGTAGGATATTTACTTTCTTATATCAGCTAGGTCAAATCCAATCTCACTTTTGGTGGATCAGGTTTCCTGTGCCATAGAAGACGACATGATTGGATTGATGTATTTGTATATATGTTGGTCTCTTTGCTGTTGATGAATATAGAAAACTATTTGCAGGTAGATTGTCTGTCCTTCTATTTCTATATTTTTTCTATATCTTTTTGTAATGTGTGATCATAATTAAGTCACGTTAATATTTTATATTAATTTTTTATAAAAATAATAAAATAAAAAATAATAAGAATATAAAATATTAACGTAGTTTAATCATGATCACATAAACAGAAGAGCGTAACAAGAATATGGAAATGGGAGTATGAAAATGAGAGGCAGACAATTCCCCTCCAAACTATTCAACCACTGCATACAATTCTTCTAGCCTTCTGTCAGTTTCACTGTTTCAGTTTTCTCAGCAGATGTAGATCCCTTCAAAATCTTCATCTGAAATCTTGGTCCGTCACCACTCATTTATGACTTAACTTTCACTGTAGTTCCCAAATTTGTTGCCTTCAACTCATCAATGTAATCCCACACTATTGCATATTTGTCTACTTGCCCGAAAGTTAAAACGAACCCTCTGACCAGCTATCAGATGGCCTAAAATCCCCTCATCCATCCCTAGGTTTCCTAGGTTTAAACCCTCGTCGAAGTCTATTTTATCCTTCCTTGCAACTTCATTCTTCTTTTCTCACTGCCATATTTCACTTCTTGCTTTGCAGGAATCGGACGAAGATGGCAATCTCATCGCCCGGAGAAGCCGTCGCCAACAGCCAAGACATACTCACACAAATCCTCCTCCGACTGCCCACAAAATCCCTCGTCCGCTTCAAATGCGTGTCAAACCACTGGTTCTCTCTCATCTCCTGCCCCCAACTCATCGCCGCCCAAGTCCGCCGCCAAGGTACTCCGGCCCCCTCCGGCCTCCTCTTGAACATTGACTACTTGCCCACCCCAGAATTCCAATATGTCTCTTTCACACACTCGAATCACCCCAAATTCGATGCGAATCCCCCTCCGTATCTGAGTTATCTGGGTGTTCCACGCATCAAAATCCTTCAATCCTGTAATGGGTTGCTCTTGTGTTCCTCTGCCTACCTTACGGACGACCCCGATTTCAAGAACACAGCGTTTGATTTTGGTATCCCACATGATTTTATTACCTCTATTAGTGAGGATGATTGTGGGATTAGAATCTTTGTTTGTAATCCCATCACCATGCAGTTCAAGACCATTAATCTTCCGAGCGATGAAGTCGGTTGCGCAGAGATAGAGGGTGTGAATATGGCCTTTGATCCGACTCATTCACCCCACTTCAAGATAGTATGTGTACTGAGGAGCTCGAATGGCGCTGACGATGTATATTCGCTTCGTGTTTATGAATCCCAGAACAACGCTTGGAAGCCGTCTCTAATCAAATTTGATCCACCAGAAGCAACACATTTCGGTGCCCCTGTGTTTTTTAGGCGGGCAATTCACTGGTACAGTGAGGAGCAGACTTCCCTTTGTTTCGATGTGGACGAAGAGTGCTTGAACCCGATTCCCATGCCGCGATACCTAACGTGTAACACTATCCAGTATTTTGGGGAGTCTCGGGGCCATCTGCAGTTGATAATGCACACGACCTCGGATGTGGAATTTGATGTGTTGGAGTTGAAGGAGGATTACTCTGGGTGGCGGCTGAGGCACCGTGTCAATCTTGCTACCTTTAGAGTGGAATTCTGTGATATGTATGGGGTTGGCAGCGAATGGTTTCGTGTTTCGGTTTTGAGAATGGTTGAAGCAGAAGCAGAAGGGCGGGAGGAATCAGAACTGATGCTATTTGTTTGTGGTAGGTTATTCTCTTACCGGTTGAAGGATGGTTCGTTGAAGCAGCTCATGTGTCTAGTTCCATATGAGAAAGCTGAGTGTGGATGGGAGAATGCCTTTCCATTCATAGAGACTCTCTGTCCTGTTTGAGCACAATTCCCTTGTTGATGTAAGCGTGTTTTGTTGTCTGCTTTTGTTCATCTCACTTCTTTTGCTCAATGTCATAGAAGGCGCTTGTGAAATGACGCCAGGGTAGATGACAAGTAAGACTTGTTAGCTTATGTAAATGTGTTCCGTTGCCCTAATTCGAAAGATATCGCTCCTTTTCGTGTAATTCAATGTCTGAATGTAGTTTGGAAATTTGGTGGTCCTTAATGGTATTGTGCTTCTGTCCTGTTTGATAATCTGTTCATCCGACGGTTCAAGGCCGTTTCTTTCCCCAGCCGGTTTCCTCAAATCTGCGGCGTACTAGCTGCACATTCGACACTTCAAAATACTTTTGAGTCCCAACCAACACTCGGAACCCATCTCCAATACTATTCCACCCGAAAACCACACATTTCAGTTTCCCTGTTTTTGTCCAAGCATGCAATCCACTGCTAGTCATAAAGCGGTTTCCCTTTACTCGTTATCGCCAAAGAATCCTTCAGTGCAATTTCCATGCCTTTCCGGACTTTGACGAGTACTCCGAGACTGGCATTTGCCAATATGCATGGGGATTCAAGCGTCTTGTTTCAGGGGTTACGAGCGCGGTTCGAGCAGAAAGGAAAGAGGAATAGGAGTAGGTGCTGTTTTTGTTCGGCACGGTTGTCTCCTACATTTCTTCCGAAGCTCAAGCTCAATCGTTTAGTTTCTAGTTGGTTTTGATCAAATTGGGACTTTTTAAATTGTTCTTTGGATCGACACCATGAACTGTGCTACTAGAAGCTTGGTGGTTACTGCCAGAAAAAGTTTCGCCTTATTTTCTGACTATGAATTGAACCATGTACATGGAAAATAACATGATCAATCATCTAAGTATACACCATCAAATGTATATACATCGATGTGGCAACAACTGCTACGATGCAATGCATATGCCTCCATTTCTCACGAAACATGATCGCATCTCTTATTCAGACGAACCGAATAAATGAAAGGTAAGAGTAACAAATAAATGAGGAACCAAGGATTCATTCAGATAAACTGAACTGGAGAAAATATCACCAAGGGCAGAAGTTTACCAAATTGAATGACATTATGATCCATAGATCAACAAAGAAAATGAAACACTTTCCATCTACCAGGAGAGGGATGATTGTGGTCCCGTAAACGTTCTATGACTAGTCCCACAGTTATTATCAAAACATTCTCAGACTAGTCATATAAACTTCCTGTATGGTCTTCCTGCATCCTCATCTTGCATGTGCTGTCATCATAGAACACAAAATGTTGGTCAATCGGTTGACAGCAAGACTGGAATGTCAAAATTGTTTGTGCGGTGATAGTGTGAGCACTCGCTCAAATGATTAGCCAACCAAAACGATAAAGATGCAGTATAAATGAGTGATCATCAACCATAGCAACCACACAAAATACTAGGGATAAGTATGCTGATAAGTACCTAATCAAAGTTTTTGTGGTTGTATAAACGAAACGAGGGTAAGAGTATTAATGCTTAAGACTAATCCTATCTTGCAAAACAATAAGTCTTCAATATTACTAGTAACTTTCAGTATTCCAAGTTTATGAAAAATCTGTCTACTTTGAAGCCCTTATCCTTACATGTGTTCATCTCTGCAATAAGTACAACTGAATGTTGTGAACATGGAAAATCAGAAGCGTCCAACAATGAATATAAAGTGGGATAAAGTATGCAACAAGAAAAGAAATCACTAGGCTGGGGGAGGAAAAGAAGTTGGACAAAGGACATGATTTTACAACAAAAAAGATATCCGATAATTTGGCAACTGATTGCCAACGAACAGGTTCTAACAACGAAAAATAATGACACCACTGATGCAGAAAGGACAACTTGCTTCGCATACTACGAAGAAAAACGTTAGCTAGAACCTATATATTTCATCTCTCCCTTCCCCCCCTAAAAGAAAATACTAATAAGGAATAAGAAGATCCCTGGCAGGCAACATTACATTGTCCCTTCAATCCCTTTTCCTACCAAAAGATTTCCACCCATAGAGACACCTCTTCGAACATCTATGTTAATTGTTACAGTCTCAAGGAAATATTACTGGCATTTTTCCAACAGAATGCACAACCCAAGAAATGCTCTAAAACCCACAGTGATGCAGCTCTCCAATATGGATGAGTGACCGAGGGACATTTCAAACCCATTTTCCAATCTAGCCTACGCATTTTCTTACGATTTCACCACACAAGAAAGGCTTCTCAGTGTGTATTTAACTCCCAGCACAAAGGGTTATTTATGCCCAACCCAATTTTTATGAATTTGCCAAAACCCCTAAAAATGCCAAAAGAGTTTAACTCAAACACTTCACAAACAATGATTCTGCACTAATTTTACAACCCCAAAGCATCTGTTCTTTCCTAAAACACAATTTGGATCAAAACCCAAATGTATCAACATTCCATAATTTGAGAAAAAATGATATCTTAAAAGTCAAATAATCTCTGAAAATTATAAAAATTAAACCAAAAAACAGCTAAAGCGAGTTACTGAGGAATCAAAAATCAAGAGATCCGGAAACCTAATGCGATCGATTAGGCAAAATCCAAACGGATCCACCGGATTAATTTCCAAAATTAAATAAATAAACATAAATAATTGAGCGAGAGAGAGGGAGGGAGTTACGAAGTCTCTGACAATGCCCTTGTAAACCAAGATAGGGATGGCGATGCCGAAGATGCCAACGAGGGCGAAGTTGCGGCGAGTCCAGCGGAAGTTGTGCTCGAGATTTTCTCTGACAGATCCCCACTCTTCTATGAACTTGTTCTTGTTTGCTTCCATTCCTCCCCCCATTTTCTTCTCGTGTCTGCTCTCTGCTCTCTGCTCTCTCTCTCTCTCTCTCTCTCTCTCCTCCAACACTCTGCTTTTTGTAGAGTTGTATCGAATTTACCTGGATTGAAATGCTCGGGCTCAGGCTCAGCTATGTCCGTCTAATCCTCTGTTTGGCTGCAACGATAACTCAAATTTTCTTTTTCTTTGTTTTTTATTTTATTGTTGTTACATTACTTCTGTTCATCTTAATTTGTTACCTTATAAAAATTATTTTTAATTTGATACATTAGCCATCGCATACTTGGATTGGGTGGCAATTTGTTGGATTGCAAAAACATTAAGGACTTCCAATTGAAAAATAAAATTCTTTGGGGAAGTAATTGAGGATCTAAATTTGATCATTTCTGGTTTAATCCAATTAGCAAGGGTGAAGTTAGAGCATTTCTAGTTGAGCTATTAAATAGGGATAGCCATCGTATAAAATAAATATAGGGACAAATTGAATCTGCAATGGATCGCAAAGTGAGTCTTTAAAATATAAGGACTCATTGGATACTTAACGTATGTACCAAGACATAAAGACTGTATATGGGCTGAAATGGTGGACCCGTTGGACAATAAATGCAACATTGTCTTCAAAGATCGTTGTAGGAACTCAACGATGGATGGAAAACTGCATGTACTTCAAATATGCTCAACAAGAACTTTCAACCCTATTTCTCGCATGTGCCCTAGTGAGGCACAATGAGCTTTGTAATGTCTAATGCAATGAACTAAGAACAACACGCCACTAATTGAGCTTAGATATGAAACTTCGGGTTCCACAATCTTTTCATGGATCTCATTTGAATCTAATGAATAGATGGTCTGGAAATATTGAAAAGTTAACACCTTCAAGGTGTAGCTTAACTGGTGGACTAGGATACCATCAGAACAATGCACGAATTTTAGGTCAAGGTATAAACGAGTTTTTCTAAGATGCTTCATCTCAAATCTTTGTATGGCCTTAAACAAGCCCCACGTGCCTGATTTCAACGAGTCAGTCCCTTTTTGCTCCATATTGAATTTCAGTAGAGTCAAGTAGATTCTTCTCATTTTATTGACCATAATTCCTCCACCACTATTTTCTTGTCACTAAATGTTGACAACATTGTAATTATGGCCAAATCGGATAAATGATCTCTGTGGTCATAAGGTATTCGGAAGATAGCCTATGTGCTAAAAAACTCGGATTTAAACCCCTGTGGTGTACTCCGTTAGCAAATTTAGTCCAAAAGTGATTTTTCCGTTAACTATCTGTTAATACATGGGTAAAATTGTACTTTAACGTGTACACCTTCTTCTTCCTCGACTGTCGGCGGGGGTGGTGGCCCGACGTCGTTTCTGCTGAAGGCATACAACATGGTGGACGATTCCGTGACGGACGAGATCGGGTCGTGGAGCTTGAACAAGAAGAGCTTCATCGTCTGGAACCCGCCCGAGTTTGTCCGGGTTCTGCTCCCCACTTATTTCAAGCACAACAACTTCTCTAGCTCATTCGTCAGCCTAATACATATGTAAGCTCCTGCTTCGTAAGATTTTGATTTAGGTGATTTGTTAAATTCATGAAAATCTTGAAAGCATTGTACATTTTTCCCCCAATTTGCTTCTGTTTAGACGCACCTCGGAGAACTTTCATGTTTTGGTAATTCTGTAATTTCTATGTTTGGGTGATTAGAGATTTAGTCTGTTCTTTGTTTGGATTGTTGCTAGTTTCCACTTCCCTGTTTCCAAGTATTAGCATTTTTAGGAAATTGCAGGGCTTTTCGGTTCCTCCGATTTTAGGGAGATGAGGTTTTCCTCTAAATTTGCTAACAAATTACAGACCTTTTTCTTATCCTTACTTCTCGAACATAGAGTTGTGAAAGTACAAATATTAACAGATAGTTAACGAAAAAGTCACTTTTGGACTAAATTTGCTAACGGAGTACACCATAGGGGTTTAAATCCGAGTTTTTTTTAGCACAAGGGCTATCTTCCGAATACCTTATGACCACATGATCATTTATCTAATTTGGCCTTGTAATTATTGCCAGCTCATATGCACTTCTCACTTAATTTACAGCACTTCTTCAAAAGTTTAACATTAAAGATTTGGGTCCCCTCAGTTATTTTTTGGGCTTACAAGTTACTCATGATTCTAATAGGTTCCACATCCTTCAATTCAAGTATGCTCATGATCTTCTCCAAAAGTTTGAAATGGTTTTCTACAAGCCTGCTTCTATACTGCTCATCACCAAGATTGTTTTCATGCCATCTGATGAGTCCCTTCTTGCTTCTCCTACTTCTTATCATGAGTTCGTTGATCCCTTTAGTATCTTACTTTAACACACCCTGACATATCTTTTGTTGTCAATATTGTTGCTCAATTCTTGATTTCTCCTCGTATTACTTAAATGATTGCTGCTAAACAGATTCTACGTTATGTCAAGGTACTATGGATTTTGGTCTTACTTTGACTAATCAGCTTACTTCTGCACAATTATCCGCTTATTATGACGCTGACTAGGCGGGTTATACGGAAACTCGTCGCTCCTATCATTGGCTATTTAATTCATCTTGGAACAAATCTCATCTCTTGGTGCTCAAAAAAGCAACTGATGGTATCTAGCTCCAGTGCTGAATTAGAATATTGGTAGTCTATGTGGATTTGTTATCTTCTCCATGAGCTTGGTGTTCAGTTGTCTTTTCCTTTATCACTTCATTGTGGTAACCTTTGTGCCATTTATCTTGCTTCTAATCATGTTCATCATGCTCGCACTTGCTATTTTGAACTTGATAATTTTATTCATAAAAAGGTGGCACTTGATAGTCATCAGGTTTTTTTATATTTCTTTTATTAGCCAACATGTTGACCTGCTTACCAAATTTCTCCATTAGCCCTGTCATGGTGTTCTTTGCTCCAAACTCATTTGATCAAGCTCGTCAAGTTTTAGGGGTGTTAGAATTAATGTGGTTAATCTGAAATCTTCTCCATAATTATAGGAATATAATTTTCTTTTGTAAATATTTTAGTTTTCAAAGGGGTTCAAAAGGGACTTGGGAAGCTAACTTGGACTGTTTGGGGGTTGGGGGTGGGTTTACAAGGATCAGGGGTTGGTTGTCGTAGTTTACCTTTTTTTTTCTTGGCTAAATCGCCAAAATGGTCCCTGAGATTTACAAAACACATCACTTTGGTCCTTGAGATTTCAAATCAATAGAAGGGGTCCCTGAGATTATCCACCATCCATCATTTTGGTCCTTTCGTTAAAAACTCCGCTAAGTGTCCCGGAGCTCTTGGCTGGAAGTTTGGGCAATTTTCTAAGTTTGTAACTCAATCGTTTCTTAACCAAATTCGACCCATAATATATCAAAATGAAGATAGGAAAGTGTAGAATAAGATTATACCTATTTAGAAACCCAATGGTTGCCGAAGATGGCCGGAAAATAGCCTCAAAGTTGACTGGTTCGAGGGAAAACTGGAAAACTCGCCGGAAACTGGGTAAATTTTAAACATTCATAACTTCTTCAATACTCAATGAAATCAAGTGATTCAAAAACAAATATCATACTTCTCGATGAGATGAAGAGAATGGTACCTTTTTTGATAGCTAACTCGCCTTGGTTTGGCTGTAAAACGACTCGAAAATGGCTAACTTGGGACCAAAATAGCCACTTTTGAGCCATTTTCCGGCCAAAGCACGCCTAGTTAGCTGTCGAAAAAGGTGCCATTCTCTTCGTCTCGTCGAGAAGTATGATTTTTGTTTTTGAATCACTTGATTTCGTTGAGTATTGAAGAAGTTATGAACGTTTAAAATTTATCCAGTTTTCGGCGAGTTTTCTAGTTTTCCCTCGACCAGTCAACTTTGAGGCTATTTTCCGGCCATTTCTGGCAACCATTGGGCTTCCAAATGGTATAATCTTATTCTAATAATGAAAATTTCAGGGACCATTTTGGCGATTTAGCCTTTTTTCTTTAATTATGCTGGCTGGAGTTTGGGGTCAATCCCTTTTCATTTTGTTTGTTGGTTTAGTGATTTTAAACAATTTTTCTTACTTTTAGTCTATTTGGTCTTTACTTCATAAAACTATAGTGCATGTTGCATATTTTGTTGTATTTGATTTAGTTAATTTTGTTGACTTTCCTTTCCTTGTTTTGTTGTATAATTTTGATTTGGTCAGTTGAAGTCTCTGGCTTCAATTTTTTAAGACTAAATCTTCCATTTATCTTGCATGTTTCTTATTATTTTGTTTTCTTTGATCTAGGTCTTAATAATGAAACTGGATCTCCTTTGGATCCCAATAATCTGAATCTAAAGATCAAATGATCCGGACCATTAAAATTTGATCAAACGGCTACAAACAGAGGCCTCTTTAAAGTTATAATAATTGTAGCCATTGGATCAAATTTCAATAGCCCAGATCAAATGATCCTTGGGCTCGAATTATTGGGATCCGTTGAGGATCCGGTTCCCTTAATAATATGCCCGGTCTGGAAGTTCATATGGAAGATGTTGTTATCTATTCGTGGTCAGCTGTTGGAAAGAAAAATACACAATTCTATTGCAGTTACCCATCTCTTAATCAATTATTGTGGATTTATTAGGGCTTGTTTGGTATCTAACTTGAGAACGAAATTTTAATTTTTTTTAAAAACACTTGTTTTGATTTAAAAATTTTAAATTCAAAACCTTGTTTGGTATGCATTTTCTCAAAACTAATCCAAACAGAAAAAGTCAAACGACCAACCCAAGCAATTATCCGACCACTGCATCCCTCCCATCCCCAGCGGTGAAAGACCAATTTCCCGACCAACACATCTCTCACTTCTCTATCGACGACTCCTTTGGCTATTTACCAACTCCTTACTCCAAACTCGCACTGACATTGGTGGTCTCAGACCTGAGATCCAATGACCATAGGGAAGATGTGGTGGCTATGGTGGATGCAAGTGAGAAGGGATAAAATTGAAGAGGCAATAGACAAGAGATGATTGAAGAGGC